GCTTCAAATACAAAACAACTTCAACATATTGCAAACAGACTGGAGCAATAACAGCCACCAGTTACTATAAAACTTTACCTGATTTGTGAAATGACAGCTTGGCTCTGCAAAATGCTATGGAAGAAATACAATGGGGGAGGGGAGGGATGAAGGATGGTAGCAGTTAGTCATCTTATTGCCATGACGCCTAACTTTTTCTCTCAACTAGTGATGAAAAATGGTTACCCGAGATATGTTTTTGTTCCTTTATGGTATAAAAAAGGCAGCATGAGTAAGCAGTGGAGGCATGTGTGACTTTCCCTTCAGCTTCTGCAAGCTGAACCAAGATTTAGCACCTAGTCTTGTGCCAATCCTAGCCAAAGATGAGCTTTAATAAATCTTTTCTTTGTGGTTAGATGAACCAAGAAGTAAACTCCTAACAGCAACACTTACAGCACTGCATAACTTACATTGAAACAAACACTCCTCGCAAATGTAAAATAAATCTGAAAGGCTGTGGTCAAGTAGCTCACAGATGCATCTGTCACTACTTTTTTGTGGAAAAGCACAATGTACTCTCAATTCTAACATCAGAACGGAGCTACAATTCCGGCGTTTAGTTTTCAGAGGGTGCCTGTTTCTGAAAAATTTCCAAAAAAAGTATAAAATAAATAAATAATAATAAAAAAAAATATCAGTACTTGATCACTATTCTGGCTTTGCAGTAACCATTACATTTTACTACCAGAAAATTTCAAACCTGTGGAGTGCTCCACTAAATTTAGAATGGGACAAACAAATAAAAATGATGCATACATTTTACTTAAGAATTATCACTACACATGATATCCAGGGAAAGTTACATTTTAAGCTTACAACAGAGGTATTTTGCAAGGTCTTTTAAAGATATTAATAAAAACAGGAAAGAGGAGCAGGGTCTAGTGGTCTGAGCCCTGGACCGGGCTCAGCAGAGCTTTCTCCCGCACTCCATCTCGCATCACAATTTGAAACAAATCACAATCTTTATCTACATGAGGGTTTCTGCAGTCGTCATCTAGATCAACATCAAACAGCAGTTATTATGCTTCAATGGGCTTTAACATCCAAATGAAACAATTAGTCTAGAAATGCAGAAACAAACAAATCCATTTTGTGCGTGACACATAACCAGGCAATTACTTTCTTTGCTAACATGTTGCTTGAGCGTGTGCTCACTGTCTCTATCCTTCTCAGTCACGTTTAGATCCTTAAGCGGCCCGATGTGCTCTGAGACAGCATAACGACGTGGATCCTGCAAAGCATCCGCCTTAGTCACTTCAACGCTCCAACCTCTTACTAATTTCTTTACTCTGCTGAAATATAGTATTCTGTTTAACACTTAAACACCTTGGAAACACCAAAAAAATGTTGCTTTTTTCCCCCAGGCTTCAGATCATTATGAGGTGCTGCATCACACTGTCAGCAATGAGGATTTGGAGAGATCCTCATACTTTTGCTCTTGCACCAGGGCTAGAATCGACAGGAGGCCACCGGTGTTTTTATTGTTACGTTGTCTAGGCCAGCAGTTCTCAACCTTTGGCACCTTACATCCCACCAGCCCACTTTGTCAAAAAACCCTGGTCCCACCATGATAAAAACAAAACCCTGCTCTTGCACCTTTCGAGATATCTGTTGATTCATCTACCTGAAGTGCAAACAACTTTGATTTTTTCAATCAGGCAATGAGTTGAAGTCCCACCTACACGATCTTCGTGTCCCACCAGCTGAGAAACACTGGTCTAGGCTGACTTTGAGTACTGGGAGCCAACTGTGAGGAACAACACTACCAACTCACCGGCATACAGTTAAACAGGTCTATTAACATCTTCCAGGGATAGTGGAATCATCCAAAATTTCCCCAAAATCATTAGTGTTTAGCTCACCGCATCTGTTTACGAACAACCCTGGATTTCAATGAGCGGACTCACCCGAGTAAAGCGAAAGGTGTTTATGTGCCTTGCAATATGCCAACACCCACATTTAGCTAACAAGATATGGGGAGTCAAGAAGGGGTGGATGCACAACAGGGCAGGCAGACGGCTGCCCCTGCGAAATGACCAATTACTGATCAAAGGGATGCGCTAGTGTAATCAATGGGGTGCGTGCAGGGATAAACTCTCAAGAAATGACTACTTTGTAATTGATGGGAAGGGGTAAATCCTTGGGAAACGACTAATTTGTAATCAACGGGATGTGTGCAGGGGATAGTCCTCACGAAAGGACTAGTGTAATGCATGAGATGTGCGCAGGGGTAAATGCTCAAGAAACGGCTAATTTGCAATTCATGGGATGGTGTGCAGGAGTAAAGGGGTAAGTCTTCAAGTAACAACTGATTTGTAAGCAATGGGATGCGTGCAGGGGAAAAGGGAGCAAGTCCTCAAGAAATGACTACTTTGTACTGTATGGGATGCGCGCAGGGGAAAGGGGTAAATCCCCAGGAAACGAGTAATTCGCACTCGAAGCGATGCGCGCAGGGGCGAGTCCTCAGGGAAGGGCTGGTGTAAGCGATGGGATGCGCGCAGGGCGAAGGGGTAAATCCTCAGGGAAGCACCCATGCAGCCGCCGCGGGTCGCGGAGGCCGGGAGGACGCGCACAAGCCCCTGCCCGAGGCCGGGTCGCGGGACGGGGCGAGGCGGCGGGTTAGGGACACGGGCCCGGGCAGGGGGACATGCCGGTGGGGGCCGCCGGCAGACACACGCCGCACCCCATCCCCGGCAGCACTCACCGTGCCCGGCCGCGGCGCAGGCCCGTCCCGTCCCGGAGCCGGCAGCGATGACAGCTGCTGAGGGAGCCGCCGCCGCCGCCCCTCCCCCGCCAGCTCTCCCGGGGGAGGAGGGGAGGGGATGCGCGCGGCTCCGCGCACCGCGTCGCCAGGGGAGGGGAGGGGAGGGACCCGGATGAGGGGCTGTGCGCATGCGCCTCGCCTGGGCGGAGCAGAGGGTAAGCTCCGCCCACCGCAGGGCTGGGGTGGGGGGTGCAGTGTGGGCGTCCACACGTGTGATGCCCTCGCTCAGCTTGCTGGGGACACGTGTGACCTGCCCGCGCCCCGCACACGCACACTGCAGAAGTAACAGGAAAACAGAATAAAGAGCGTCAGGAGCGAGAGAGGCTGCTAGGCTGTGCGTGCAAGAAAATTTGCAAAGAACATTTCCTCCCCCCCCGTTTAATAAATACCCACCCAAAGACTCCATCCGGGAGGGGTTTTTCAACCCGGAAGCTTGCTGAGAAAACGTTTTTCCAATTGCTGAAGTAGGTCTAATAGAAGATATCGGATCCACCCAAAAAACCGCATTGCCGACGAGCCTCTCAAAGAGCAGGAGATTTGGCCCCACGGAAGTGGGGGGCATGTTGCTCTGGCACGTCTCAAGCCGCAGAGCCCCTCCGCTGTGGGCGCTGTTTTGTCCGGCTCCCTCGCTCAGAGTGTCTGTGTCAGGACGGGGATCAAATGGCAGGATCCGGGAGCTGCAGGAGCCCCTTAACCAAACACAAAACTGGTCCCACCATGGGATCCAACCAGTGGGTCTCAACATTTTTAGACCTGAGGATCCCCTGGGAAAATGCCAGCTCTTAAGGTTCACCCTTTTGTACTTGACCACAGAAAAATCATAGAGCAGTTTTTTTTTCTGTTGCAAAGACCCCCAGTGAAGGATTTGTATTTGAAATCTCTGGGTTTATCTAGTGAATCATAGATTTATAGATGCTAGGGTCAGAAGGGACCTTAGCAAATCATTGAGTCCAACCCCCTGTCCCAGGCAGGGAAGAGCACTGGGTTAGATGATCTCAACCAGATGCATGTCCAGCCTCCTCTCAAAGACCCCCAAAGTAGGGGAGAGCACCACCTCCGTTGGCAGCCCAGTCCAGATTTTGGCAACCCTTACTGTAAAGAAGTTCTTCCTGATGTCTAACCTAAATCTGCTCTCCACCAGTTTGTGGAGAAATGTTTGTAAACCGAAAGGTGCAAACATTGCATAGATGTATGTGGTAGTCATGTTGGTCTGAAATGAAAAGAAATGCAAAAATCTAGAACTCTTGGTTCCAAAATGATACCTTTTATTAAACCGACTGACAAATTGCACAAAAAAACCAAAATTTTCTGCAAGCTTTCGGGCGCTTGCGGAATTTTTTTTTTTTTTGCAGTTTCTTGGTTGGTCTAATAAAAGGTTTCATTTTGGAACCAAGAGTTCTAGATTTTTGCATTTCTAACAATGCATGGCAGTCCACAGCACCCTTGAAAGGATCTCAAGGCATCCCAGGGTGTCACAACTCCCTGGCTGAGAATCACTGGCCTAAACCAGGTGCCCAACCCCTGTGATATACTGTGGATACACAGTAGATAGATGGATAGCTAAGCTAACTGGAGGCAGTATTTAGCTGTGAAAGGAAAATAATACGTAGCCATGATAGGCACATAAAACTGTTGCTTGCTTCATTTCAGCAACCCTAAAACCTATTTTTTTATCAGCTTTGTTCTCAGCCAGGAGCCACAGGGGAGAGAAAGCAGCTGGGATTTTGATCCCATAGGCTAAAACTTCGTTTAAATACTTTCTTCTATATAGCCAAAGGCAAAAAGGAATGTAAGTATGATCTTCCCTACTTGTTTCCCCATTTATGTGTGTTCAAAGAATGGCCTTTCTTCTGTGACAGAAGGCACAAATGATAAAGTGTTTTTCAGAAAGGCAATCCTAATCTCACTCCTATACACATGGGATTTTGCAGTTTAGATGCTGCATGAACCAGGGCAGTTAATTGGTTATTCTTAATTATCCTAGCCTTTTTGGCTATGATCACATGCAGCTTTTAATTTAATACGCACTTCTTCTTCCAGGGACACCAATACATTCTGCACTGATATGCAGACTAATAAATCTAACTTTTTTCCTCCATCTCTCAGCTGATTTTATGAGGCCTTGTCTATATATATATCTACAGTATTCCTGAAATAGAACTGGATTACTATATCTTTATAATATAGATAACAGAGTTATAGTACTAGAAGAATTGACTGCATATAGCAACACTCTGTTGAACAACAATATTGTATCCAACTGGTGCCCAAGGAATTGGTCCTATATATTTTAATATGACATGCAATGGTCCCTGTCAAATGCCTTTTCACCACCAAGGCATGTGGTTCCCATTGTTTTTTCTGCTTGCATTTAGGTCCCCAAAGGCTATATTTAATTAAGAATATTCTCACAGTTCTCTTCTGTTCATCCTCCTGGAATAAAACCCATATGGTCAGTGTTAATTAGGTTAGCAAGCACTCTAAGCCACATTGCCAGGATTCTAAATTTATGTCATCCACATTTCATAATGGCACTAGTGGAAAATTCCCAGAAGCCATCAAGTCCTTCTAGACTTGAAATCAGAGACATGATATTCTAGATCTGAAAGGTGGTTTCCGGCCGCAGTATGGTGTTCCTAATCATTACAGTGAGGTAATGGGTTGGTACTGACTCATAGGGACGTGTACTACTGTCTCAGCGCTGGTATTGCCAAATCATGAGTCAGGTTGCCAAAATAATAAAATAAAATAAAAGGAGATAGGCAAATAAATCCTGGGGTTTTTTTTAAATCTTTGCAGCACACTTAGATCACATTTTCAAACATTTCTCTGCAAACTGAGGCTAGGAACTTTCTTCGTTTAACCTGTAAATCAAGGTTCTTCTGTAATGACACAATTCCCAGAGCTGGTCTTTTCAGTCCATACTAAATATTGTGAGACTTGCAATAAACCAGGGAGAGTTGATACCACTGCAGTTCCCCAAACAAGCTTCAGCACTTTGGATTTCCGTAATAGCAAACTGTCCAGCAGTAGATTTTCCTCATTGAGCATGTGATACAATCTATTGTTATACACCTGAACCCTGTCTTCACTATTCCTAATTCAGTCATACTTAACGATCAAGCAATTTGTAGATTTTTACCAGAAGGTTTTATTAAGTTTTATTTTTAAAGAGCTCACCTGAAAGACAAGTATTTAAATAAACGTGCAACACGGCTTATGAAAAATCAAGCAGTTATCCTCATATGCCATAATGTAAAGCTCAGTTTATTTACATGTTTTAACGTGAACAAACGAACATGGTAGGCAAATCATGTTGTACATTCAGCCAACATCAGACCTGTACTCCACAGCATAAAATTACATGTGAATTATGCATTTAGCATATATGTAAGTGCCCCGGTGCACTGAAAAACCACACAGTGCAAAGACAATGGATGTCAGTCTCACCTATAATGCAGCTAGGAAAAGAGTTGAGGGTCATTTCAGTCAAAGAGGCAATAATCAACTGGTTTCTATGCACGCTTGGGAGACAAGTTCTGAAGCTCCAACTGTGACCAGTGAGTTTTGACAGTGCTGTGTAGTTTTCAAGATTAAGCCCTGAATAAATTGAAGTTTAGATACTTAAAAATGCCATTAAAACTCTGCTTTGGATAAGAGATTATGTGAGCAATTGCAAGGAGAATTAGGGCATGTGGAAGAAGGAAGTGGGCTGGGGCTGCACCCTCTCCAAACCCTCATGTTTAGCTTAGCGGTGGTCTGAATCTTGGCCTTTGTCATTTCAGCCCCAAGAACATTTTTAAAGAGTAGTAATTGAGACTAAAAACACTGCAGGTCTGCAGGTCCTGGCCTTGTCCAGATGCTCTGGGCTGCTGAGGGGCAGGGAACGAGTTTGGTTCAATACCTATCTGTGGCCTGTGACTACAGGGGATAGGGAGCTTAAGCCAAGTGCACGATTTCTTCAAACAGGTGTCGGTAGCATGTGAGGGAATCCCATCTGTTTCTCTTCAACAACAGAGATAGTGTGCGGTGGCTGTAAAAGAGCCTTGTGGAACAGCGCAGGAAAAAAACCTGTTGGGAACACACAGCGGGGCGGCCAAGTGTGAAATACAACACTTACTACAGTTCAGGTGTTGAGCAGACATAGCAGGTAGCAATGAAGCACAGTCTGGTGACCGTGTCACAAGTGGCAGTAGGATAGACTTCAAAGGCAGACAGGACTAAGTGGTGCTTCCATATTAGCACACTTAGGTCGTGAGTCTGCATGCTAATCAGAACACCCCAGGCTGCGTGGACCTGGCAGACTGGAGCAGTCCCAAACTACCATGTCCATATATCTAAATACAACTAGCAGCACTCTGCTGGGCCCATCTGTTAGAAAGTTTTCAAAAGCGAGTCTTACTGAAAGCAAATGCTGTGAACGCTGTTAGTCCTGAACATCTAAAGCTAAAACAAAAAACCCTTTAGCATGCTATTAACCCTTAGCATGAGGCAGGACTGCCTAAGTCTTTGGAGTGAGATCCTCACCTCTAAACCTTTTACAGCCTTTACCAAGATGGGGTTAAGATCTACGCCCAGGATCTAGCTGTTGGAAGATTCCCAATGAGCAGAAGACAACTTACGTGCTGCCTGCTCAGGGCCTTTAGCAAGCCCTAGCATAGGGGCCGGGCAGAGGCAGGAGGGACATGTCAGGGTGGGAACTGCAGGATTGTGGAGATTCATGGGAGTAAGATGCCATAACTCTTATGGAGGGAGCCACAGAGCCTCTCAATAAGAGAGCCTGGGAGCCCTGGTGGTCTGCCTGTCTGTTGGCCATGCTGCATCTCTCAGAGGCACAGTGCGGGATACCAACCTTGATGTTGGGATTAAATAAAATAAGCATGTATGAAAGAGCCTAAATATTTGCTAGCCAGGCAGCTTGCATATCCTTCCACAGCAAATTTTAAACACCAATAAGAAAGCCTAGAAGTTGAAAAATCAACATTCAAGTAACACAGAGGGCTGTACTATGCAGTAGATCAGGAACCCAAAACACTGAAGCCAGCGGGCAGCCAACGTTCGTGGTTCCATGGTGGGATCAGGACCTTTAGGTCAGACATTCACTTATATACTGGTGACCTCTGAAGGAACTAGACAGAAAATCTTAAAATAGGATTTCTATGTGTTTGGGTTTAAAGTAGATCTGCTTTGAAGTAACATGTTTTTGTAGTTTACTCAGTGTCAAAACACCTACTCCCTCTCTGATTAAAAGGGAAGAGATAAGAAAAACCAGCATCCTCACATCTCCCCCCCAGCCCACTCACTCTCCTCTTTACCATTCTGCTGTGTATCTTTAATGAACAAAAGCTAGGCATAAATTCACAAACAATTGACTACTGGGGATCCAAAGCCAATGGTAGTAAATCAGTGTCACGAAGACTGCGACAAGATTAATGTTCTGGCAATACTACTCCATTAACACTGTTATCTTACTTAAACACAGACAGTATTGCGGGCAAAGGAAAAGCAGCCATTTCTCCAGGTTTCATAAGCTTGAATGTACAGGATGCCACTGATAAGATCTAAACTGTCGGACATGCCAAGCTAGTGAGGAAACTAAGCAGAGGGAAGTATGTAGAAACCGGGCATCCATTCTTTGCTAGGTTCTCATACACATTTTATTCCCCCAAGCTGCACAAAAATACCAAAGCAGTCTCAAGTATTTCCAGGTAAAATCAGTAAGCCTAGCAAAAAAAGCAAAACGTTATATGTAGACAAACCAACTGTGTTTTCAGTTACCACGTTATGAATCTAGAATAGCTACATTCAAATCAATGTAATTCCTGTGCATTTTTGCTAGTAAGAGGAAAATTTGGCCATAACTATATAAATACACAAACCTACTTTTGCAGATCCTAGGTCCTTGCAAACTGCTTCACATTGGAGTAACCACCTACAGTGCACAGAAAGCAATTGCTATCGATATCAACGAAAACTCCATAAGTTTAGTCAGCCAGTTTCCTATGAATATGGGCCAAAATGCATCAAGCAGACTTAACATTTATTTCCTGGGTGAAAAAATGTGTTTAGAAAGGGAGGAGGGACAACAAGATACCACAGTGCAATTGCCTCGAAAGCAGATGTACCTTGCATGCAGCAGTAAACATTGTTGACATGTGTCGATCATTTGTCCCTTTAATCTGACAAATTCCACATCATCCATTTCTATCTACCTTTCCAAAGAAAATATATTTTCCTTTTTATCATAGGTGCACATGGCTACGTTTCCACTATTCTGCTCAGAATTTCTGGACTGCTCACATTTATTTATTCTTGACAGGTTGCTCACAAGTGATGGACTGGTTCCCTTCTGCTGTTGAAAACAGAAGAAGAAATCCAACCTACAACACTGAGGCTGAGATTTGCAAAGCTGCCTGAGAGATCTGGATGCCACTGAGTCTTCAAATCTGTTATGCAGCTTTGGAAAATCTGAGCCATGATTCAAATTGGAAAATAACTAAATTCAGGCCTCACAAAGAAACAACATGAATTGAATACCAACATATTGGTCACATTTCAGGTCTACTAAATACAATGTTTTCATTTCTTCCTGTCCTTGCCCTTTACTGTTTTCATTCCTTCCTGTCCTTGCCCTTTACTGTTAATGTTTGTACCATCTCATCCAATCTGTGGATCCTTCTGTGAAATCAAAAAACTGGCAGCCACAATCTCTGTCCTAAGCTGGCATAACACAACAGTGCTACAAAAAAAACATTAACCTGCACATCTTGCTCGTAACACTAATCAGATAATAGCTCTGTTACTGAACAAGCGCAGATTTACTGTGTAAGAAAGTGAATCACACGCCTATTCCTGTCTCCTATGCTATTTCCAAGGCATGACATGTGCCAACATTCGTTTTATTTAGTTCAGTAATATCTTCACAGAACATTAAATCCACGTGGTGGTTTCCTCAAACGTAAAAGCGTATCTTTTTGAATCCTTCACACTTTATCTGTGATTGATCCGTTTTTACCCTTCCTTCAATAGGTGCAATTCCTGAAGGCTTCAGTTTGGTTTGCACATATTGTGGCAGGACTGGAAAATGGCACAGTCACCTTATTTCACACAGATATGCATCTTCACAGTGCCGGCTATCAGATCAGTTTTGTATCGCCACAATACTGCACTCATCATTTTATATTTGCAGTGAGCATCCTTGAAAGGAGGACTGATTTACTGCTAGCTTAGGACAAATGCTTTCAAGTTCACAGCTGTGCTAAAGTCCTTTATTAAAATAATCAGTCTTGGGAATTAAGTTTGAATCTAGCTTTAAATCAGATCAAGCTTGGCTTTAAACTTATTTATATTTTAAATAGATCTAAAAAAACAGAGCGATAAATAAATAAAGACCATACTCTCAGTGCCTTAGGCCAGTCCTTTGAAGAGCACTCACTCCTTTTTACTGTGCTCCAGGATGCGGTAGGGTGGTGCAGAGACCCCTTTGGAGCCATGCTGCTCCTGCACTATGGGCAGTGTGGCCGGAGTATAAATTTCTGGCATGCTGTCATTGTTCTCGAGGGCACCATAGGAAAAGGAAGCTTTGAGGTCAGGCTGAACTGCAATCCCTTTGTCGTGCATATTCTGCATGCCTGCAACAGAGGTGGGAAAAGATCACAAATAATGGATTATACACTCCCGGGCTTAGCAAGATGCCCAGTCAATTGCTTGAGTGTTAAATGAAAGAAAGAAATATTATGTTCCTATTTAACACTGAAACAAATGATAGGGAAAAATCACAGCTGGGAAAATACCTTGGAAAACTGCAGTTGCTTTACTCCTTGCATTAATTTGCATATCTTCTAAGCAGCCCATCAGAAAGGTCATTTAATATACTTCCTGCTTCCCCCATGAGTCTATTTTTAACGATTCTTTGAATTGCTGGGGCACCTTTTACCAGAAGTGTTTGACACATCATTTATATTCAGGACCTGAAAACTGTATGTATTATCCTGTGAGGTCCAGATGACATCCCCTGTATGTGCAATTGGTGGGAGAGGCAGTACATGGCACTTGGTAGAACTGAGCCTCTGCTCTTGGTCTCCTCTCCTGGAGGACAGAGCCTCTCATTAATCAAGTGCTTGTGGAGTGTCTGAAGATGAACAATACTGATTTTTATTAAGACTGGTTCAGACTTTAGGTCTGATTCTTCTTTATACCAAAGCTCTGTTACACCCTTCTGGTACCATAGAAGGGGCCTTAAAATGGGAGTAAATATTACCCTTTTACACAACTAGATCAGTGTGAAGAGTCCTCGCTGGAGGTGAGGATCTGGCTCTTTGCATTCATTTTTAAATGATTTCCAAAACGGCCGCAACATTCATCCTACCAGCTGCACAGGAGAACAGCCACTCATCTGAAAATCCCGACCGTTTACTGTTGACCATCAAAGGCAGAGGCACAGCCCACCATGGGGTAAAAGAGCCATGGAGACCTGTGGCTACCCTCTCTCCACATACACTGCTGGCATAGCAGGGTACAACAATGCCTTGGCAATACCTTTCCTTCCTGGTTTTCCAGAGGGTGCCCCAGCCCTATATAAGTCATATAGAAGTACCACCTCTTTCAAAATAGCCAGACTTTTTCACCACACAGGCAAAGGTCAGGCTTAGTCTGTCACCAGCCCTGGCCTGCAAAGAAGTTGGATGGTGGAGCTTTGCAGCACACTCCAGCTGCCTGTGGGCACACAGTAAATCAATGCTAGTCCATGTTAGAGTATCCCACAGGCCACCCTTCATTTGCCTTGAAGAAAGAGCGTGCACTGGCAGTTGCTGCAGAGAAGCTGCCATCTCTAGCCAGGCCAAACCTAAGAGGCTCTTTCTGGGAGTAGCCTTTTGTGGTTACTCGCTTCATCTACTAGCCTGCCATCCCATGAGAGGTCCACTTGAGCCTCCTAGCTAGAAGTCAGCTGCACTGGACTTTTTTTTCTTCCTATCTTCCTTGAAGCCTGACACCTGCCTCAGGTCTTGCAGGACCAGACCGATTAGGTCCCTGGCAGCACAGTGACTCTCTCTTGACTTGTGTCGAGTCTGCACACACTGTAAGAAAGCACATCCTGCTGTAGCTCCAGCAGGCAGGAGTTTGAAGCCTTAATCCAGACTCATACAAAAAAAAGGCTGCCCCTAGTCAACCCAGTTGTGAGTGAGTACCTGCTCATGCAGCCTGGGGAGTCAAAGGGACCCAGACATAATGCTAGCCACACCACACATCACTGGCTAGTTTGTGTAAGCCAGAGGCGTAATAAGTAGTTTCTCCACTCTGGGCCACCACTATTATTCTTGTGTCCCCTCAAAATTGGTGCCCAGGGCTGACATCCCAGTCTCCCACCCCTAGTTACACTGCTGGTTCTAGCCCAATGAACTGCTATAATTAGGTAGACCTTTGGTCATAAGGCACAGACAGTGTAATAAAAAAAAGAACAAGAGGAAGAAAAATACTGTAGCCCCCCAAGAGGTTGGAGTGTTCAGTTATGTTAGCATCTGTTGAGAGATCAAACCATGACTTTTCATTCTGAAAACTGACATTTAAGAGGTTCAAAATGTTGGATTTTTATAGCTACCTGGCATGGCGTCCATTGAGATATAGGGTTCAAAGGGTATTGATTTCTTCCTGTTTCTTGTGATCAAGAAGACACCTAAAAATGCGATGAGGCACCTGGGACAGAGACAGCGAGAAAGAGAGAGACAGAGAGAGACGTTCTGGTGAAGTTCATGAGCCAAGGTTGTTGCTTTTCTGAATGTCTGTCACGCAAGAGAAGACTCGGAGCTGGAAGACAGAGAACCTGTGGGGCTGAGTTACAACACTACTCACTGGGGAGCAATGTGTCTTAAATGAATAAATCACTGTGTTCACAAAATTGGGATCCATGCCATGTGCTACAAGCAGTAAGAGCAAGTCCACCTTTTCCTTAGTAATACACATAGTTTCATAGTTGGTCAGGTCAGAAGGGACCTAAGCAGATCATCAAGTCTGACCCTGTGCCATGGGCAGGAAAGAGTACTGGGGTCAAATGACCCCGGGTAGGTGTCTATCTAGCCTTCTTTTGAAGACCCCCCAGGGTAGGAGCGAGCACCGCGAAGAATTATTAATTTACTTATGTGAAGACATTAAGTCTTGGCTAATCACAGGGGATTGGTAGCAGCCCACAATTTAATTCACTCTTACAAAATGTCAGGATTCCAGTCTGTTCAGGAATTTCTCTACATAAATTCACTAACAGTTGTCATTTGTCAGCCTTGATTTTTGCAGTATGCTAATTAGAAAAGGCAAGGTTAATTACACTAAGCCCTGACTGTTCCTTCTGTATTAATTTCTAAATTAGCTTTGTGGCTCCCTTGCTTATAGGGAGTGAGTTACATCCAGACACTGTACCACGACTCAATACTGATACATTGCTAAGAGCTTTGCTGAGTACCCATGCAGTGACTGACTGGACTCCCAAAGTCCTGTCCCAGCCCACTGTAATGTAAGATCAGCATAAAACCTGAGGTGGATGACCTAGAAACAGCCCTTTCTTTGATCAGTCTAAAGCCCAGCTCGAAAGTGAAAAGGGACATCTTTAGGACTTTGCAATATATTTTAAAGGGGATAAAAATATTTTTAGACAATCCTGGTAGAAAGATACATGCTTCAGGGTACATGTTTCAGGATATAAAGTGATTTCCAAGCGAGTCAGGAAGGCATTTGCCCACATGGTATACCTTGCGCAATTATGTGCACTGTGGAGTAACACAATCCCACACAAAGTGAAGGCAGGGCAAGTTCCTGCACTCCACAGGCTATTGCACAATCAAAAGTCAGTCACATGACTTTAAAAGTGAATGCATGTTCACCTTACAAAACAATGCACTAAAATATTCAACCCCAGATGAGTTTCAATACAAGGCTGCCCCCACTCCTCCCCTCCTTTTTAGATTTAGGAGGAATACCTTTAATTTTCTGACTATGTAAGGGTGAAGGATGAGTTTCTCATTTCATGTAAATCAGTAAAGTTCTGATTTCACCAGCTCTGTGCTGACTTCCCCAAACAGATAATCTAGCTTGGTGTTTTAAAACACTTACCCTAGTGCAAACATGCATATGTGGAGAACATCTTCACCAATGAAGTCCAAGTAGAAGGTTGCTCCTGAGAAAGGAAGAAATAGCGGGGACAGGTTTCGCTGTTTAACTTCTTTTCCCCTCACTGCTTGTCCAAGCAAGGGGAGATAAATCTTAAGTAAACTACCTCCATGAATCAAACCAATATAAAAATCATGATAGATCTCACATTTTACATGCTTTTTTTAACAGAGAAGCTCTTAAAGACTATTAAAGGAAGGTTATCAGTAGAACAA